TATTTACATTAACAACAAACCATTAAAACGTCAGCAAAATGCAAAACCAGCAACAATTTCACGAGAACATTCTATAATTTTTCAATCAGTAATTATGGTATTTTTATGCAAATTTTTTAGACACACACTGAACACACATACGTACAAATGTTTTGTATAAATAAACAATAACTTAAAGATAATGGCAATTCTATACGTGATGGCATTTTGTTTTGCAATTATTTTGTATATTTATTGTTACAGCTGCTGCAGCATTTCAATATCAAGTTTAAAAACAATTTGTGTTTTGATTGTCATTTCAAATTGGAAATGTTTCTTTTTAAATATAAATTTTACTTGTTAGCTAAACATTTGTTTAACACAAGTTTTTTATTAAAATATTTTATCAAAATACTTGATGCACGGAATTTCCCATAAATTAGAGTGAGTGACGCCCGTTGACGTCGCCTCGCGCTGAATCAGTCAATTATTGAACGCACATTTTAGGCATACTGTATACATTTTTTTTCTCATAATCGATGCCAATTAATGCATGCCGGTTGTGTTGAGTCCACACAGTAGTCCGCATATAATACAAATTGTGAGCAAGAAAATTTTAAGCAAAAAATATTTAAATTGAGTCAGCTTGGCAACTCATTGTGTGTGTTTAGCTCATATCTAAAAATATAACTAGCTCTCAGAGCGTTAAATCGGTAATTGGGGACCTCGAAGCAAATTTTTTTTAAATATACAAATCTAATTAAAAAATGTATCTCCCTGGCCGGCCATTGTACTTTCACACCTTTCATTAATACCCCAAAAAGAGTAACACAACGGGTTTTCAAAAACTTTACTTATACTACGTCACCCGAAGAATATGAAGAAGCAACCGATCTAACAAAACTCACCAAACAAGTTGCCAATTCTCATAATGTCACTTTTAACACGCTGTACATTGCTCCGAAAAGATAGAATAGCGAATTAAGGTCGCTATTGGTTACAGTAATCCTAAAATGTGTAGACTAAATGTCGGTAATATGCGTTGAGGTTTTGAAATGTTGATAAAACCAGAAAGTTTTGCACTTTAAAAGTATATGGTGTTGGTAGTAAATTTTTTATGAATTCAAAAAAAAAAAATAAATAAATAACAAAAAAAAAAATTTTAGATAATAATAAAAATTAAAAAAAAAATTAGAAATAAAAAAAAAATTAAAAATACAAAATAAAAACAGATTAGAACAAAACTACATATATTTAGCACAGAAAAAAAGTTACCAACACATAATACCACTTAACCACAATTTAATAGCATGAGATAAGCTGTTTTATTAGCTGTGCTTTAACGAATGTATTTCTTTAATTTATTAGTCATTTAGTTAAATTAATATTCGTTACGCATAGCCAATTATAATAGTCAACTCTTAATCAGCTGTTGATTACAGTATATGTAACGCTTTACAGCACTGTTTACAGCTTATGTTAATTTAACAGCGCTCATGTTAAACTACTCAGTAAAACCAGCGCCTTTTGGAAATGTGTGTATAATTTAGAATTTTCAGGCATTCTAAAGTTTTTTTGACCTTTTTTATTAAAGAAAATGGCCAAATTACTAAATAATAAATAAAAATAATTAATATTTTAAGGCTTTGACATTACAGTAAGCCTTAAAAGTAAACATATTTGCCAACAAAAGAAAAAGTGTAACAACTTCTTTAATATTTAACTAAATAAGTAAATTATAGTTTTAATTAAACTTAATTTCTTAAAGTATCTCGCTTTTCTGCCTCGAAATTCACTATAGCCCGCTTTTATAGTACCACAAAAAAGTCAAGCACACAATTTTTCTAAATAGCCAATTATTTCCACGTGAGTATGTGTTGGTATGTGGCATAACAAGAGTTTTATTTGAATGAAAAGTGCCGTTGAACGGAGCTCGTACAGCGTTTATAGCGTGTATAAATATTTAAGTATTGCAAATAATTAAAGAGATAAAGTTGTTTATACCTACATCGAGAGAGGCCCAATGTTAATTGTATAACGAATACTTGTTTTCCGCACTTACCAATATGCAATAAAATAAATTTAGGTAGTGGAAAAGTTCAAGCAGTAAATACCTTATCCCTTCAATATACTGTTTGTTCTATTTTTTACAATTTGTTTGAGCAAGCTTTAGCCTCAATTATGTGCATAACATTTGTTCTACCGTGTTAATTACTCGGCTTAGATGAGCTTGCGAAAAGTGAGCGCCGATAAGCAGAGGTCATCAACTGCATTTGCTTTGAGGCAGATATTTGAAAAGGCTTATGCTAATAAACGCCTGGCTAAGCTAACGTAAAGCTACCGTTATGACAATATTTCAACAAAACAAAAAAAAAAAAAAATAAGCGTGCCGTTTCGAGTTTTATAATTCAAGCAAAATAAAATTTAGAATTGAATTTCAGCAAATTGATATGTTTTAACTGACAGCGGACTAGAAAAAAAGTAAGGCTTAGGGTAGGCACACAGTGGTGCGAGTAAAGCAAGCGAGCACAAAATATGACGTTTTAATGGCACTTTTAGCTACATATGTGTTATAATTGTATGGGTTTATTTTGATATTTTGACATGCATCCACCTATCTAATTACTGGGCGATTTGCCTTCCACCAAATAATTGACTGTTTTACATAAAAGAACTTGATTTTGATAGTTGGGTTTGTATGGCAGCTATATGTTATAGTTGTGCGACCTAAGCGATTTATTCGGAGATTATACAGTTGTCTTTGACAATAACTCGTGAAGATATCTCGTCAAATAAAAAAGTTTTCCACACAAGAATTGGATTCTGATTGTCAGTTTGTACGGCAGCCATATGCTATAGTGGTCCGATATCGGCGGTTCCGACAAATGAGTAGCTTCTTGGTTAGAAAAGAACGTATTTGAAATTTTAGAACAATATCTCAAAAACTAAAGGGGCTAGTTCGAGTATATACAGATAATTTTTCTAAAAAACTTAAACAATGAACTTCATTGATGACGAAAATTCTTTTAATTTCCGACTTTCTCAAAACTTTCATTATATATGATTGACGTATTAACGCTTCAATGAATAATCTACCATACATACGTTTGTAAATATGGTATGTGCTGTGTTAAAAGCTAACCGAGTGCCATGACCGTTCAGTTGTTCAAACGTCGACTTACGATTACAATTCGTGTATCACTCGCTTTTTGGCGCTATTTTACATTGAATGAGATTTTCCATTGAACTCTGAATTAGTGGCTCAACCTCTATTTTGGGTCATTGGGTTACTATTTACGTATCTAATAAAAGTTGCATGAGGTTTCAATAATTTATGTATAGCACCAGCGATATTTACGAAACACCGGAAATCGTGGTGATAAATAATTCCTAGTTTTTTTACACTACTTTTATCTGTTTTATTTTTTTTTTACATTTTTTTGGGGTCAGCGTATTTGACGCTGCATTAATCAAATGATTGACGTTATCGCTTCTTGCGCGTTTGATGAATGGAAGAGGATTGCTCAGCGATTGTGAAAGCTTGCTGCAATTTTTGTTGTATAAGTCAAACTTGTTTTTTGTTTTTAAATAATACCACATTTTAACATTTTTTTTTTTTACTTTTCAATTTTATTAAAATTTAATTTTATATTTTTTTAATTTGATTTTTAATTTTTCATTAATTTCTTTATGTATTTTTTAATATTAATTTTTTTGCGGTTTTCATTATTATGCTTGCACTTGTCAAGCAAACATGCGTATGTGCTTCATACATTTCATCAATGAGGTTTTGGCACTTAAGAAGCATGTATTTACTACTCAAGTGGCACTTTAGCAGCTGCTTCGGCAACTCATTGTAGTTTTCGGGTTTCCCAAAAGCTCGTCAAGCACAAGCCACAATCGCTACAAAGTATTTGTTGAAAAAATTTTATGATTTGCCAAATTAAATATTTCTCTTTTTTATCAAATTATCTACTACCTTTTACGCTTGACATGTGAACACTTTAACGCGTAACTTGTTTTGACATTTTTGCTGGTAATTCCTTTTTCAAATGGAATGTCATGCAACGGTGTCGACAAAAATTATTAAATATTTTTTGTTGTTGTTTTTTATATAAGTGTATATACATACATTAGTATGAACATTTTAGTGAGTTTCGGCGTGTTTGTTTGGTGTTGTAAACTTTTATCGTTGCTTATCAAGCAGCAAATATAAAAAAAATATTAAAAAAATATGACTGATAAGCGACAAACTGCCATATGCCCTCTTAGTAAAATACTCCAGATACGCGATATTCATAAAATAGCTGGTTTGTTTTGCGTTGAAGATGACGCAGTTGAATGTGTTAAACACAGCGTGTCGGTTGCGTTAGCTAGATGTGGGTGCGTCTTACGTTAAGCGTAGTAGTATTAGCGAGTTGGAAAATAATGTTAAATAAAATAGTTATTAATTATAGAAAACAATTTAATATAATAAAAAATCAGAAACAAAAATACATTAAAACAATATAGTCAAAAATAAATGTTTTGAAAAAATGTATTTTCAAATATAATCTTTTTCACAAAAAAAACGACCAAAACAAAAAACGAAATGTTTTAAAAAAGATATTTTCAAAAAATAGCTTTTTATTTAAAAAAAAAAATTTCAACATAAAAATATGTACTCAAAAGTAAACATTTGTAATATTTTTAAATTTTAACTTTGAAAAAAAATATCATTTGGAAAATGTTATTAATTAAAATATTAATACTATTTATTTGGGAAATATTTTTTTGTGCAAAAAAAACTTTTCCATATACATATATTATTCCCAAAATAGGATTTTTCCTTATTTTTTTAGGATTTTTCTGCTTGAATTAAAATTTTTTTCGTCCAAATTTTCAAAATTTTTTTTAAGAATTTTTGGTAAATAAATTTATTTTTAATTTTTTTTTTATTATATGGATTTTTTACTTTTCTAACAGTTTTTAGCAAAAATTACTAATCACCAATTTTTTTCTTTTTTTTCCCCTTCTTGCAGAAAAACGACTTTGAAAACTATATGAATGACTATTTAAGTCAGCGTGATATACTACCGCCCCATCGCATGTCATTATTGAAATTTCTGGCCATTGTAAGTATTTACGCATACATAGCAAATATTTTTTAAATCAATATTTTTGTTTAGCTACAATAAATATTAACACAGTAAATGCAAAAATTTTCCATGCGCTTAAATCACAAGCACAGATGTACGCATTTTTGTATGTATGTATGCACAGCATACGTCACTCGCGCCAAAGAAATGAGTTGCGTGCGCGAAAAATATGAATAAACACGGCGTGCGAGATATGCGATTAAAACTGTAATTTTATTGCGCGCAGTGTTGCTGCTTGCGCACACAGGCGCAAAAATTCTCACATATGTATATATATATATATTTTTGCACATTTTTGCTACACATACCAGGCAGTTAAAACAAAAACATAATGAAATTTTATAATTTAAAGGCGAAGGAAAGTAGCCATAAAGTAAGACTTAAATTATAAGGCTTGCAAAGGTTAAAAAAAAGCGCCAAAATTAAAGTAAAATGATATCCAACACTTTAAACAGTAAATGTAATACGATAAAGGCGCAGACTTCCTGCTTTACAGCAACAAAGAAGCAGGCAGACAGTAGCGTTCCTACCACACCGGGGTTTAGCTTATGTGCGCGATCAGCAAGCAGGGTTGCCGACAGCAAAATATGTTTAAAAACTCATTTCGAAACTCGGAAAAACAATTTCAGTATTTTATTTGGTTATATTAGGTGTATGTAGTAAAGAGAAATTACATTTCCTATAGATGGCGTTATTTATCTGTATATCACGTTGTATAAGACCGGTCGCGTTAGAAAGATGGCATTTCATACTAAAAAAGCTTTTCTAACAGTTTTGTGATTCGTTGATTCAGTTTCATAAATAATCAAAATTGATAAGCAAATGTCAAATGCCTTGCAATATTTGCAAATAACATATATGCAAGTGATGTTGCCAACACACTGCAATTGCATTTTTTCTGTTTTCAAACTGGGATTCACGCGTTCCGCGGTGCGTAAAAATTATTACTTTTGATATTTAAAAACACATTAAATTTCCTGATAAGCCCTATTGAAAATTGCAAAAAAAAATTTAGTTTCGTTGCAAACACTTTAGCGGCAATTAATAACGCTAATTGTTGTTCATTGACATTTATTGGCTAACAATCAGCTGTGCTATAGACATTGCGAAGCAGTTATTTACTTTGGGTGACAATAAAAAAAATTAAATAAAAGAATCAATGAAAAATGTATAAAAATATATATATTTATAACAATAAAAAAATGTTATAATAAAAATCAAAAAAAAAACATCAAAGAAAAAGTCATAAATACTACCCGAAAAATAAATACAATAAAATAAATTTAAAAAATACTACATTATAGCATCAAAGAAAAAATCCTAAAAAAATATCAGCAAAAGCCGCAAATTAAAACCAAGTGGGGTTCAATTAAAGGTTATGGAACTTCTGCACGTCATATTGAACAATCGCATCAGGCGCGCGACGCGTGAAACAGTTCTTCATTTTGAAATTGAAAAAAAAGTAAAAGTGAAGTATAGCAAATCACAGTAAAAGTGCAGTGCTGCTGAGCGCTTTTTCTTTTAAATTTTTGACGTTTGTATAACATAACACTGTATCATAACAATTATACCTTGAACAGGGCGATGAAGTTTGTAAGGTGTTGTAAAGTGTTGTCCTGAAGGAAACTTAGAAGATCCTAGTACTTGTAATATATATATAAATGTACGCACTAGTCCCTCAGTTTTTGAGATATCGATCTGAAATTTTGCATATGGTTTTTTCTCCACAAGAAACTGCTCACTTTTCGGAATTGTCGATATCGGATCACTATAGCATACAGCTGCCATACAAACGGAACGATAAAAATCTAATACTTGTATGGAAAACTTATTTATTTGATAATATAGCAATAATTACAGTCTTAGGCAGCGCTACAATCGTCGTAAATTTTATTCAAATCGGATTACTATAACAAATAGCTGCCGTACAAACTGACCGCTCAAAATCGAGATAAGGAGTTCTTTTTCCATTTTATACTATAAGAAATGCACTTGTGAAGGGTATTATATTGTAGCTTCGGTACAGCCAAAGTTTACGTTTATTCTTGTTTTTTCTCTTTATTTTAATTAAAACATGCGCGGCACTTACACTTCCTTGCAAAACAAATTTTGGACTTTGCGCTCAACGCTTAATTGCGTCACTTGTGACCTTTAAAGCTAGTAACGAAGCATACCCTTTTGTTTATGCTGTTGTAAACAGTGTGAATAAACTTAATACTCAGCTGTTCGCCGATTCGTTGTGTGTTTATCGAAGTTAAATATGGATGTTAGGTGTAATATACTTTTTTAAATAGATTTTACGAATTGAAAAAAAAAATTATGAACATCATCCTCATGTAATTCATAAAAGAAAAAGCGCCTGCTAAAAAACGCACTTAAGCAATCTACACATAAAAATTCTCGGCGTCTGGCTGTTGTCTAGCCGCCTCATTGGCGGCATGCGTTGACATTCGTTTATTGCGCCCTCGAAAGCTTTGATTAAATGTAACAAATGCCTATAGATTTGGCGCTGAACATACATACATATACTTATCAACGCTTTAGCTGTGTCGAGGTTTATTATGATTTGTCAGGCTTATTAAAATTGTTTATAAACTATTTGAAGTAAACAACTAATATATAGTTCAATTTTACTTTATTTCTTTGTAGAACGCGCTGGAATTGAGTGCACCCGCAACGCCGGCGCTGCTGGAACACAATCAAAATAATCAGCATTTTAACGCCAACGTTAAACCGCCAGGTTGGATGCAATTATCCGGGCACCCAGAAAGGTAAATAATCTCTACAAAAATGTATGCAACTGCTGAATTTGCGAAAACACTCCAAAATTTTAGAAATATCAGAAAATTTACTTATCCCTTCTTTTCTCCTTTGCAGCATTGTCCCCACAACTGCCGGCATTGTGCGCAAACGCGTCACCAGCATGACCGACAATGAGGTGCTCGCCTACAAGCTACTCACACAGGAGCCGCAAACGGCCAAAATTGTGCCGCAATTTTACGGCGCACAAGCGGTGAATGGTGAAAACTTTATCGAACTACAGGATCTCTTGACTGGCTTCAAGGATCCCTGTGTAATGGATATTAAAATGGGTTGTCGCACTTTCCTCGAATCGGAAGTTACCAATAAGACGTTGCGTCCGGATTTATATAAGAAAATGGTTGCTGTGGATCTATTGGCGCCCACAGCCGAAGAGGAGTCTGCGCAAGCTATTACCAAACTACGCTATATGCTTTTCCGCGAATCGATGTCATCATCACAATCGAAAGGTTTTCGCATCGAAGCATTGCGCCTACGCGGTCGTCCGCCTGTTAAAGATCTGAAGACAGTACGTAATAGCGATCAAATAACACAAACTATCGAACAGTTTCTCGGCTCAAAGCGTACGGTGACAAAAGAGCTGATCAAGCGACTGAAACATATGCGCATGGTTATGGAGAAATCAGCATTCTTTCAGCGACATGAAGTTGTTGGCTCGAGCATTTTTATCGTTTACGATGACGATAAGGTAGGCGCTTGGTTAATCGACTTTGCCAAGTCGCGACCGCTGCCCGCGGGTGTTAATGTGAATCATCGTGCCACATGGATACCCGGTAACTGTGAGGAGGGCCTGCTCAAAGGCATGGATGAGCTGATCAATGCCTTCGAAAATGTTTATGCGAGTCATGGCAGTCGGAAATGCTTACAAATATAAGGAATTACATAATGAATAATGCAGCAGTGCTGCAGGCAATTAGACAATAGCTGTAATTACAATTGGTTGGTTAAAGAAGCGTTGACGTTTCTACTTTCATATTAAGGGGGAAAATAATATGAAAACTAAATTCTACAAAAATCATACATGTATCTTTCCTATTCGCGAAAAATATCCATTGTATAGTTTAAGTTTGTGTTTATACTGCCATAAGACTGATATGCATTGCGTGCATTTAAACGAAAAAATTTCGCCTCACACATACACCTATATTGCCCTATTTATAACTATTTTATCGTATATTATTATTTACTTTATTTGCTTACGTTTGTATTTTCCATATTGGAAAAAGAAGCCTTAAAGTAAAAAAAAACAAAAACCTCATATTCACGTTCTAAAATCATTTGCATATATATTTAAAGAAGAGTCTTTGTCGTCAAAGAATTTGTTACTAGATATGTATATAAACCATCTAAAAGTATTTCTAGTTAGTTTTCAAAAATTGTATATAGTACTTCATGTGAACATTATTTGTAAACTGCAATTGTAACAAAAAACAGGAATTTTGCTTTAGTACACAAGTAAAAAACGAGCATTATGTCTAATTCATATGACAGCTGTCATTTTATATGCAAAAAAGTTACTTAAAATACGTCAGTGTGTAATCCTATTTGTAGTTCAGTTTTAAATTTACGATCTTTTTATATTAATAAAAAAGGATGTTAAAAAATTTGTATGAAATAAAAATTGTACTTGGATTTTGAAAAACACCTTGTTGTATTTAAACTTAGAAAGCGTCTTTTACGGGCAATAATAAGTATTGGTGCCAAAAAATGCCAAAATTGAGTAAATACTACCCATACAGCAATTATAGGGATTTTTAAACTTCTGACTGACTTGTAACAATATGAAAAATATTTTAGTAAAATTAGGTGAACGATTAAGTTTGGATATACTACAGTTTACTGCTGAAAATGTGTGAAATCGGCCCACGAATTACAACAGCTCCCATATATACAATTTATCATATATGTTATGCCCAGTATGACTTCTACGATTCACAAGAAATTATTTTTCTGCGGTAGGTTGCGAAATACCCTTTTTGAAATGGAATCTCATTTTTTGGTTTCAAAAACCAGTCAATTTTTTTATGGATCTTGAATAAATTTTCTGACCCCCAAATATGTCGGTTTTGCTTAAAAACCAGCCAGACGAGTGAAATGATATGTACGTTCAGTAAGCTCAAACGTCAACACTTTGGGGAGCTGTTTCGGTGTGAAGCAATATTTGCTTTGAAACGTACTGAATTGAGATTCCTAAAACGTGTCTAATTCAATGGATTCGTAAATTCTAATGGCGGGAGAAAATATATTTTTATATACTTAAGACAAGATAAATATTTTCAAGTTTTCTTAGTAAATTTAATGCGTATATATCCTTGAGTCCGACTCGCGATAATATAAAAGTAAAAAGCTCGTTTTTGGACAAAACTTTAAACCATAAACCTGTATGGTCAGGTATATATGTATAATTTATTTTCACATTGGAAAGCCTGGTCCTGACACTCGTTATATACACACTCCATATATCAATCTATAAATGCTTCAATTGATTTAATTTGACGTATACAGTTTGATATATTACCAAAAATATGGATTTAATAGGAACATAACGAAATGTACATCTTAATTAATATAGTTAAAGAAAACCGGATGTAGATAATCATATTCAAGACAGTTAAAGGAAAATGCATGAAAAACTCTCGTCAATTTTTCCGGTAAAACATAGTTAAACAGTTTTATTTTTACACTTTCGCAACATGTAGGTACAGAGTAAAATAGTTTTGTTCAGTTAACGGTTATTTGTATCACCTAAAACTAATCAAGTTAGATAAAGGGTTATGTATATATTGGTCCAATAAAAGTTCGTTCGGTTTTTTATTGATTTTTCAAAAGATGATAACTTTGTGTACATTTGTCCGATTTAAGTCAAATATGCGCCGTTTTGTTCGTAAACTTGTTACCAACGAGATGCCAACTTCATTATACCCTTCTCGTAGAAGGCTGCGTCCCTATTGGCAAAAAACTCGGAGATCCAAATTTCACAGGCCTCTCTTGAGGCCAACTTCTCACCATTAAGCGCGTTTGCCATGGACAGGAAAAGATGGTAATCACTTGGTGCCAGGTCCGGACTATAAGGTGGGTGCATTAGAACCTCCCATCCGAGCTCCCGGAGCTTCTGGCGCGTCACCAAAGACGTGTGTGGCCTGGCGTTGTCCTGATGGAACACAATTCGGCCTCTGTTGATCAAAGATGGCCTCTTCTGGATGAGTGCTGCCTTCAAGCGGTCCAGTTGTTGGCAGTAGAGGGCCGAATTGAGCGTTTGGCCATAGTGGAGCAGCTCGTAGTAGATGATTCCTTGCCAATCCCACCAAACACACAGCAAAACCTTCCTGGCTGTCAATCCGGTCTTGGCCACGGTCTGGGCCGCTTTGCTCTCGATGTTGTCTTTGCAGCGATTCGCAGATGGAAATTCGGTCCATTATGTTTTTTTACGTTAGTTTGTGTGGCACCCCAACATCAAGCTTCTTTTTGAATCCAAGGTTATGCAAACGGTTCCAAACGGTTTTTTGGCTTATCTTATTGGGTATATGCATTAATTCGTGCGGTTTTCTAAGAGAGGGCTCTACTAATATTATTTCGCGTCGTATTCATCTGTGGCTATATTCATTTCAAAGGTACTGCCATTTCGCGTCGTTTTCAGTAGATATAAATTGTTTGATCGTGAACAACAATTTGTTTCATTCATTTGAAAATGTCGAAATTTGTACCAGATAAAGTGTTTTTGCGGGGAGTTCTTCTTCATTATTTTAACATGAAGAAAAGTGCTGCCGAAAGCCATCGTATTTTACTGGACGTTTATGGTGACCATGCTTTAGCCGAACGAACGTGCCAAAAGTGGTTTGCACGGTTTAAAAGTGACAATTTCGACTTAGACAACGGAGAACGACCCGGACAACCAAACAAACTTCAAGACGAAGAATTGGAGACATTGCTCGACGCAGATGCATGCCAGACGCAAGAAGAACTTGCAAAAGTATTAGGAGTTGATCAAGCAACCGTTTCCAGACGATTAAAATCATTAGGATTCATCCAGAAGCTTGGAAATTGGGTGCCTTATGAATTAAAGCCAAGAGACGTCAAACGTCGATTCTGCATGTCGGAAATGTTGCTTCAACGCCACCAAAAGAAGTCGTTTTTGCATCGGATTGTCACTGGCGATGAAAAATGGATTCATTATGATAACCCAAAGCGCAAGAAATCGTATATAAAGCCCGGCCAACCATCAACATCCACGGCAAAGTCGAATATCCATGCTGTTAAGGTTATGCTATGTATTTGGTGGGACCACAATGGTGTGCTCTATTATGAGCTATTGAAATCGGGTCAGACGATCAATGGGGACCTCTACCGAAAACAATTGATTTGTTTGAAAAAGGCCATCGCGGAAAAACGACCAGAATATGCGACCAGACACGAATCAATAATTTTTCATCATGACAACGCTCGGCCACATGTTGCAAGGCCAGTTAAAAACTATTTGGAATACTGTGGGTGGAAATTCTACCTCACCCGCCTTATAGCCCAGACATAGCACCTTCCACTTGTTCAGATCAATGCAGAATGCCGTCACCGGAGTACGCTTCTCTTCAGAACAGGGTATCAGAAATTGGATTGATTCTTTCTTGACCTCCAAGCCGGAGAAGTTCTTTTGGGATGGGATCCACAAACTGCCAGAAAGATGGGCAAACATCATAGCTTCCGATGGGCAATACTTTGAACATTAAATGTATAACAATTTTTTCACAATAAAGTCTTAACCTCACGAATTAATGCATACACCCAGTAGTTATTCGAAAAAGCGCGAATAAATGACATGATGCGACACGTAACACAAGTACTATGGACAATAACGCCTAATATAAATGATCAGGATGAAGAGCAAGTTGAAATCCGGGTGACTGTCTGTCCGTCCGTCCGTCCGTCTGTGCAAGCTGTAAAAACTGCGATATGTTTATGAAGCTTGGTACACATGTTTCTTGGTACCGTAAGACGGTTGGTATGGCAGATGGGCGTAATCGGACTACTGCCAAGCCCACAAAACGCCATTAATCGAAAAAAATAAATTGCCATAACTAAGCTTCACAATAAGATACAATACTGTTATTTGGTACACAGGATCACATTAGAGAAGGGCATCTGAAGTTTCAAACTTTTTTTAAAAGTGGGCGTGGGTAAACTAATAGGTAAAATGTGCATATCTCCTAAGCCGCTAAAGCTATAATAACAAAATTCGCTATAAGTTATATAATTGAATAGTATGTTTTAAGTCAAAAATGGGTTAAACCGGATTAATACTTCATTTAATATAAAATTTTGCCAACACCAGAAGTAGTGTGAACAGTGCTTGTTCAAATAAAATGCCACTTAAATCTGCATTTTGATTGTGTTGTCCTATTTAGAAAGTCAGAGGAAGATTTCTTCTATTAATTTATAGCTTTTTCCTACGTCTTGCTTATCATCAATTCCCTCGCCATTCAGAACAATATCACAATATACATAATGTAAAGTAAGCATAAAATGTATAATGAATTGTAATAAAATATATTTAACAATTTTTATATACATGTATGTAGACATATCGCAATTGATTGATGTTGAGCTCATGCTATAATTTTAACTGCATATCTCCAGCATACTCGCATTTGTACACCCATAATAATTTGCTAATTATGAATGCTTGTTGCACTTCACATCACACTTCACATCACACTTCCCACACACCAACGTTACACCACCTGATATCGACACATAATTTAACACAAACTACAAGAAACCATTGATTAACTAAAGCATTACTTGAAATAAACACAACATTTTTATCACTCTATCTGCACTGAGCAATAAATCATGGCAATAGCATTTATTACACTTTTTTACACTTTCACGCAAACACATTACAACACAAACGTCACGCGTATCAAACTAAATAACATTTTTTAATTATATTTTTTAATTAAACTGTAAACGAACGTGACAATTGTTAAGATTTGAAGAATAACGCACTTTGACAAATTACTTTTAAGCGGGCGAATAAATTCCACACAAATGTCCTCCACAATCAAAAGGAAATGCGTGATACCAGATAACGGAAATCAATTTGTAATGTGTTATGTCTACACATTCGCATTGTGCGTGTATTTTTGTGGCTCCAGAAATGTTTTATTGTTTTGTTTTGTTCTACAGCAAATATTTCAAATACTTTCTATTGTGTCTATAGAAAAACTTCAATTGAAATTTTATTTCTACACTGCTTTCTATGTGCCGTCGTCTGGCAGCGCGTCATATATATTCGTAACTCGATTTCTGCTCCAATCAAATTGTTGTACTTGTATTGCTGCCGGCAATTGTATTTTTTGTTGTACGTCATCCCCATCAATGAGCGAGGACACAGTGGTACGTTAAAGTGCATAAAAGCTATTCAAATAAATGAAATATGAAAATATTTTCCATTTTCTTGTTTTGTGCGTGCATAACAAACACAAAAATAGTCTATCATTGTCACTGTGCTCAATGGCGAAAAGTGGGTTGACAATTGTTTTCGGTCGATACTCCGACAATGCACAGCTGTGCATGTGCAAAAGCAGCAACAACAATCAAAACAAATGCAGCCAGCAGAACACAAGTGGGTGGATGACAATAAGTTGTTGGCGCATGTGACGTCACCGGGCGAAACAAAGGAAGTGGAAAGCAAGCAAAAGTTTAAAATTGAGGTTTGTGTCTTTGATGATTGCAGTACGGATGATACAATGGAAATGTTGACACTTTGGCAACGCAAGTTTGGTGGACAACGGATACGGATGTTCATAGTTCGAAACGAAAGTGAAAAGCCCAAAGGAGGTGTGTCCGAATTTGGTTAATATGAAAATCACTAAAATTAAATATATTTATTAAATTTAAATTATTATATTTACCGTCAGTGGGTTATGGCCGCAATCGCGCTATAGAGCTGGGGAACGGTGCCTACTTGTGCTTTCAAGATATCGATGACGAAATGCTGCCAACGCGTATACAGCAACAATATTTACTAGCGCGCGCCAATAAAGATGCCGTGAGTATATACAAATTTTTAATTTAATTAGTATATATTTGTATACCTTGATCAGGGTATATTGAATTTACCACGATGTTTGTAACACCCAAAAGAAAACGTCGGAGACCCTATCAAGTATACATACATATTATATATTAATCATGATGATAATCAGCGTAACAAGCTGAGTCGTTTCAGCCATGCATGTCTTTCTGTGCATCTGTATAAACACGAACTAGTTCCTAGTTTTTGAGAATCGATATGAAATTTTGTAATCGTCCTTTTCTCACCAAGAAACTACTCATTTGTCGGAACCGCCGATATTGGACAACTATAGCATATGGCTGCTATACAAACTGACCGATCAAAATCAAGTCCTTGTATGGAAACCTTTTTAATTTGAACAGAAATTTTTACGAAATTTGGCACGGCTTATTATTCAAGGCAACGCTATAATTTCCGAAAAAATTGTTCAGGTCGGACAACTATAGCATATAGCTCAAGTCGTTGTATGGAAAACTTTTTTATATGCCGAGATACATTCACGAAATTTGGCATGGATTATTGTCCATAGCAACGGAACAATCTCCAAAGAAATTGTTCAGATCGGACAACTATACTACATATCTACCATAAAACTGACTGAAAACTTTTTTTTTGATAAGGTATCTTCACAAATTGTAGCTTGGATTTTGAACCAAGTCATGACTTTACTATCCTAACATATTGTTCAGATCAGACTACTATAGCGTATACAGTTTGTATGGTAACTGACCGATCAAAAACATGACAAAGATCCTTTTATACCCTTCTATGCAATAAAAAAATACACCTGCGAATGGTAATACAGCTTCGGTGCAGTTAACGTTTTTTCTTATTTTCAATTAATACACACTTACTTTTTCAAGCTCATTGGCTGCAAGTTCGTGCGCACGCCGCCGAATTCCACCTGCCGCTTTACACGCTGGGCAAATGAACTGGATGCGACAAAGTTGCCGCTACAAATATACACTGCCAATGGACCAACGGTAATTATGCCCACTTGGCTATGCCATCGTCGAGTCTACGAACGCATACCGGGTGGTTTTTGCGAACACGGCCGTGGCACGCCCGAAGATCTTATATTTTTCTATGCGCATCTTGATCGCGGTGGACGCGTGCTGCGTATTAATGAATGCTTGCTGCTCTATCGTTATCATGCGGCAGCAACCACGTTCTCAATTGTTGCCGAAACTATTTGGCAATTACGCATGCAACATTTACTCGCACATGTGTTGTGCGTGGAGCCGTGGCGCAGTGGTTTCACCATTTGGAATGCGGGTAAGCGTGGACGTAAGTTTTTTCGCGATTTACCACAAACGTTCAAGTGCAACGTGCGTGCCTTCTGTGATGTGGATAAGAGTAAGTTGACGCGTGGAGAGTACTTGAGTTTTTATTAGTTATAAAAAATATTTTTTCTTTTAGAGAAAATAAATAAAACTTACAATCATTACGACGAGAATGCGCACCGTTTCACGTACGTAGCGCCGATTATACATTTCACGCATGCGCGGCCGCCGCTGCTTATTTGTATGAAATTAGATCTCACCAATGGTGCTTTTGAAGCGAATTTAAATAGTTTAAATTTGTGCGAAGGACGTGATTACGTATTATTCACGTAAATTGTGGTGTGCTAACACAAAAAGTGCATTATTTTTCTAGCTTTACAACTTATTAGGGTTACATTTAAAGGTTATGTATACAAAAATAATATTCAAAGAAATATGCAACCCCCTCCTGTGTAAACTTTGTGATTTACACAATATTATACAATTGTGATAGTATAGTATATTAGCAAACGATTTTATTAAAATCAAATTCACAAATAAAAAAACTAAAAAATTTGCCTAAAATTATGGTTAACGCTGAATACACTTAACAATAATAGACAGTGGCCGTGTCACGAGAGGAGATCGGGAACGACTCCTCCATCACCAACCATTAATGGTTCAGAGTCAGAGTCAGGGATTCGAATTCGAAAAAAAATTAAATTTTTATTTATTAATCCCGATGTCGGGAAAAATTAAAAAAAAAGTTTATTCTGTATTTGGCATTACAAAATAAAACTTAATTCAAATGTTAATTTAATTATCTTTTTAATGTATTATTTGCAACCCTGATAGGAGTTTAACCTGCTACAATATCCAGAACCAAGTAGGGCGAGGGTCACTCTAAGTTCCCGGGACCAGTCGAGCTCTTCGTCGTTTGTAGTGCGTAGTGGTTTAACTCCAAATACACCGTTCACTGAGAGGGAGTCTGTGAAGGTATTAAAGGCATCCTATATACTCTCCTGTCCCCGGTTTCTCTCCACTCAACAGTGACTTCAGAGCATTTGTACATAACGGTATAGCACATCGCACTCTTCAAATTTCGGCGCTGCATCGAAGTTTCGTCGCACTTTGCAATATTCTGCATATATCTTTTGACTCTCTTCGCTCACGGTTGGTGGTGTAACTTGCAAATACGAATCACTACCATAATTGCTTAATGGTTTCAATATACTTCGCTTTAGGTTAGCCATTTCATTATCACGTTCACGTGGCGGTGCCGCAGTTGAAAGAGCAAAAGCATTATTATTGCCGCTAGCTAATTTACCGAACTGCACATATTTCCGGTATATATCCATATTAGCTTTAGATGGATTGGTAATCTTGCAACCGTATACCTCATCCATGGGCGGCAACACCGATTCCAATGTAAATGGTTCTTGTTCTATCAACACAGTTTGGTTGGCATCCTTAACAGCATAGCTGGCGCTTATATCCTCATCGGTAGAGCTATCATCCGCTTCGGAACTGGAACTCGATGAATTGCTATTCGTAGAACTGGTGGAACTTTGCCCGGTGAGGTTAGGATTTTTGCGTGCTTTGCGATCTTGTATTTGCCGCTGGAATGGTGAGTAGTTGGTGCGGAATGTTGGCATATAACGTAATGCCAGTTGACTAATCTCGAAAGCTATGTGTTCACTGAGATCGGTCCATTTAAATGATTGATGATAATTCGAATACGCATCGATCATCTCAAGACCTTTGGAATGCACGCGAAATAGTTCCTTGACAATTTTGTTTGAGTCCGAAGTGGAGTGCGGCAGACAGGAGCGCACTTTGTGACGCACCCAGTCGGTAATAAGACGCGTTTCATTTTCTGGTGTGAGCGGTTTATAAACGTTATGCATGTAGTAGTCTGTTTGAAGCTCCCATATTGGTTGATTATCTGCAAAATAAATAAAGATATATTGAAAACAATAAAAAAAAACGTTAAATTCGGGTGCACCGAAGCTATAATACCATTTACAGGTTCAAGTTTTCCTCCCAAAGACTTGATTTTGGATTCGAATTGAAAGATTTGTTCGGATATTGTAGCGTTGTCTTGGAAAATAATTTATGCCAAATTTCGTGTAAATATTTTGTCAAATAAAAAAATTTTCCAGACAAGAACTTGTTTTTGGTCGATCAGTTTGTATGACAGCTATATGCCATAGCGCTCCGATCTGAAAAATTTCTTCGGAGATTGTTACATTGTCTTAAGCAATAAGCTGTGCCAAATATCGTGAAGATATTGTCAAAAAAAAAATTTTCCTTACAAGAACTCGATTTTAATATATACACAGACGGACATAGCTAAATCTACTCAGCTCGTCACGCTGATCATTTATATATATATATGTATGCTTGTTATAGGTCTCCGACATTTCTTTTTGGGTGTTACAAACTGGCGTGGCAAACCCTGTTCATGGTATAATAATATTGAAAATAGTAATCATGCTTGTATCTCTAGTAAACATACGTTTCGTGTGACTTCTGCTGGGTATGTAATAGCCCAAGAAAAGGTTAATGCTATGCTGTTTCTCCGTATCACTGAAGGTATTACTGTAGTAGCGGCTCAATGTTTGCATTATATCGTTGCCCTGTGAAGCCCATGCCGCCGTTTTACGATAAGTTTTAATACGATGTACCAGCTGGGAACCACCATATTGTAATGCCAGCGTATCGCCATGCTCCTCATACAGATTCTCCAACATGGTCACACAATCTGAGTCGAACTCGAGTTTGGCGGATTTAACGAAACCTAAACGCTCCAATTGATGACCCAACGCACACTTGCCAATGGCGAATTGTGCCGTGTTGGTGCGATCTAAACAATCGACGCAATTCGTACGCACTAGGCCTGTTTGGAAACTACACTCACTACCGCGCGCCTTAAAAAACATGCCAGTCTGTTGCACTACGCTCTCCGCGATGTCGGCCAACATTTCCATGACATTGCCGCCACCACGACTTTTCCGCGCCATATCGAAATGTATGTGCTTCATACGGTGTTGCGGTGGCAAAAACTGATTCAAGTAACGTATGCTGTAGACAAGCTCTTTGGAGATAATCGATTCATGTTTACGCTTCTCACGTTTCTTCACTAAATTCAACATGATTAGCGGTGAGCCATAGTGAAAGAGTAGACGATCGAAATGACGCGCTGGTGTTTGTGCATATGGATCGCAAATATCTAATTGTATTTGTGGTTTCGGCACCATTTTGACGACATCTTGTGACCAGTGTGAAGGCACTGAGCCACGCATCTGTGTAAACGAGCACATACGTTGACCGTCTGTGACTATTTGTTCTGTTTCCACTTCATTTGCCACATCACCCATACAATTGGCACCACGCTTCAGAAATCTTGTTCCGGCAAAGCGTGTACTACGCCTTGCAATTAAACACACATTCACATGTCGTCCGAAAACACTAATACATGACTGACTTATATACCCATGCGTCACTTCCAACATCCAATCCTTAAGCACAATGACACGCATTGGCTGCAAGAGGAACGCATTCCAGACAAAACGCGTACGCGAGTTGCTGCGAAATGCATAGTTCACACGCTCATCCGGTGCTACAACATTATTGGTGAGTTTATCCCAGTCGGGCAAGGGCTCATCGTTGTCCAAGTCTACATTTGGTCCTACAAATCGCGGTGCCGATTCATTATACTGAAGCGTGCGCGTTAAATCATATGAATAGGAAAAATAAAAATTACTACGCAAATCGATACTCTGAAACATTTTCTTGTAACGTTCTTCATAGGGATGTGGCGCACGTAATGTTGTTGGTTCATTTACGCGCACCATGACTGTATCTTTTATGGTGTAAATCAAATGCATGCCAATGTGCGCGCAACATTTGCGTTTCGTGACAAGCAGCAGGTAGTAGCCTTCAAGAAAGCGCACAAAACCCAGGACACCATAGGCGGAGGTAACGCGCGCTGAGCTACCGAGTGAAATGAGGAATCTGCGTATTTCCAATGCGTTCAACTCGTTGGGATTCTCATCGATAACAACACGGTCGTGTTGTGTGCGATCAATGGTAAGCATGCGAAAGCGCGTTTCACGATTGTTGCTACCAACAAGGTAGAGACGCTAAAATGTCCAAAATAAAAACAACAAATAAGAAATATTATATCGTGGAAAATATTTATATCGAGTGGAATACTCACAGTGCGCGTTTCGTAAAGTACCACCTTTTGTATGCCACTAATAAGTGGATTAAAAAATATATTCGGATTACTGTTGTTCATTTTATGACTTTAATTGCTACTGTTTTAGCAATTTTCATGGATATTATAAACAAATTTCTCTGTGGTGACTAAACAAATAAGTAACGCGAATGAAGAATAATCCCAGCTGACTATTATTTTGTGATAACACGTTGGTGTTGCCAGGATTTGATGATTGATGAACCGTATTACAAATGTTACATGTTATTTTTGAAAATTAGTTTTTTATAACAAACAGTTTTTTTATAACAGCACAAAGTGCTATTTTATTATACATAATTTATATAAATTTTATAGTTTCTATAAATGTTCTTGCAAAGTATCACGCGAATACGGTATTGTGGCAATCAGCTGCTCTTAGTTTAGCAAAATTAAAGTTATTTATTTCTTACAAGTTTAAATATTACATATATAAATTAAACACCGGTATTTAATTAATGAATACAATACGTCCTTGCGGGTGCAAAGGTGTACGCACCTGTCTTCAGTGTGAGAAGGACTTTAACATTCAAAAACCATCACTTCTTCAACAACTCAAAGACCTGCAAGCGTTTTCATTTTGCCCCCTATGCGAGCGCCTTTTCGAAGGTTGGAACCCGTGGGAAGTGCGTGACCAACATCCAGAACACAACAATCATGAAGGATTACCATTTCCCGGAATGTTTGTGCAGGAGCAATTCCTGTGTACCAATGAAAGTGAGGAGTTAATGGAAAATTTAGATGTGTTGCCGTGGGCAATATCACAAAGTGGCCGTCGCAAACAAAATTTCGGACCAAAAGCCAACTTTCGTCAACGAAAGTTAAAGAATGGTAACTTTAATGGTTTTCCGTTAAGTACACGTTTTATACAACAGCGGCTACGTGAGGTGCCAATATTGAGTGACTTTCAGACAATTGAGCAATGCTCACTGGAGTATGAACCATCAAAGGGCGCATCCATCGATCCACATGTAGATGATTGTTGGATATGGGGAGAACGTGTTGTGACTGTGAATTGCCTTGGAGACACAGTACTGACGCTGACCGCTTTCGATGCCTCGACAAATCCGAAAAAATATAATTTGAATTTAGTACCGCATTATGAGAAACAATTACTTTTACCGTTGCTGGAAACGAAGCAATTGGATTTCTTCAAGGATAAAATTATACGTGTAGCTATGCCAAAGTAAGTGGAACTAACATTTTTCCTATTTTCCTTCTTTAAATAGTAGTTTTTAATATATTTTTACTTAGTCACTCACTGATGGTAATGTATGGACCCGCGCGCTACCAATTCGAACATTCAGTATTGCGTGAGGATGTGAAAAGCAGGCGTGTTTGTATTGCTTATCGTGAATTTACGCCTATGTATATTGATGGTGAAAACAAAATAAAAGGCGATGAGGTAACACAGAATGCACAAAATTTCTGGACGGACACAAAAAAAGCAACTGTTGAAGAATAAGTAATTAACATTTTATTTGCATAATATATTCATAAATAAGCTTTTCTGTTTTATTTTTTACTTTACAATACGATTTTGACAATTGAACCTGCTAATAACCACAAAACGATTTTTTTTTTGTCATTTTAATTATTTTTCAATCGAGATATTCAGCTATATGTTGTGCGGGATCATCTATGTAAATGCCGTCTCCCCCACCATCAACAATTTCCTCTGTACTATTACCCATAACAGTATTTTTAATGATATCCGCTGGATATGTCATTTCAGTGGTTGTTACATGTAAGCGTCTTATATGAGCGCGTAAGTTGCCATTAGAACTAAGCTCTTTTCCGCAATATTTACATTTAAAATCTGTATGTGATTCTCTTAAATGCGCAAATAAATCAGCAGTTTTAACGAAGGCTTTGCAACAATGCTTACAAACATGTGACTTGCGTGCATGTGTTAGCAGAAAGCATGGCGCCGTAAAGGCTTGTGGACAATATTTGCATACGTAAATGGAGCGGCCAGTATCATCAGTACTCACTGTAGAAAATGGTAGTGCAGCTTGCGCTTCATTTTCGCTTACAAGTTCTTGTTGTTGTTCTAGCTTATTATGGTTGCTGGTAATAAGTTCCTGGTACTGTTCGCCTAAGTCGCACTCAATTAATTCATTTGATGGTACTTCATGGACGATTTCCTCTATTTTCGGCACCGCGGTATTAACTTTCACATTTTGCTCACTTACATAAACATCCGTAGTTCTGCCTTTTTCTATCACATTCGGTATGTGTTCTATAAACAGATTGTGATTTCTTCTTTCTTTTTTCTCAAGTAGTGTATGCATATCCACATCATCTACTTTTCTTTTTCGTTTATGTGGGCTATATGGGACATTTGTATGAGACTCCTGCGAAGTGGCTTCAATCGGTGGAACAAATGTAGTGGCCCCTGTAGCATGCGTAAGTAATTGTGTTACACCGCCTGTGAGTATGAATTTTGGATTTTTGACGAATTTACGTTTCTCCGGTTGTTTAAGTGTATTTTGTATTTGTAAAGGTGCTGGATATTCGTTACATTGTACAGATTTCACATGCTGATCAGTTAGTGTATGCTCTGATGTATATTCTAAATATTCAACTAAAGTATTATCATATTCCAATTCTTCTCTGGCTACCGGCTCGGGTACCAATGCTGGTTTACACTGTTCTTGCTGTAATGCTTCTTCGTAAAGCTGTTTTATTTGTTTGTTAGCGGCGCATAAGCGTTTGTAGAAAATATACTGTGGTTGAAGCTCCTGCAAGCATTCCTTGCAAATCAGTTGCAGTTCGACGTCGAATTCAAGTACCGAATGCTGTAATTGAGATAGTTTTTAAAATAAAATTTAACAAGTCTCTCTGAAAACTTACCTGCCAGTCATTATACATTTGCAATACTTCATGTATGGAAATCGCTGCTGCTTGTGCGTCAGACTCCAGGGAATCATTTTCTATCGTATTGTCGCTCCAATGCACTTTATGTTCCCACAAATTGTAATTGCCTGCACCCAAACAAATACGGCACAAATTACGTAGATTACCAGTGTTTAACTCAATTTCCATTTATTTGTTTACAAATTTTTGTTGTTTTAGTGCGAAAATATCACAACGGCTATAGCTACTACACTTTGAAAATCTTCAACGCGTACAATTGTCAAACTGCAAAATGCACCGTAGCCCAATTTGCTTACATGGCAATGAAATAATTGACATTAACAGATTGAGGCTGTTAGCAAAATAATCATGTCTTTTAACAATTACTTCAAATAATACAATTTTACGAAAAAGAAAATGGTTATTTCAATTCAGTGTAATTTTCGCTATAATTCATAATTTGTATTATAATGTAAATAACACATAACTAAATAATTTCACCATCCGGCAACACTGTGGAATGTATTCCATCATTTGTTTAACCACAAACAGCTGATAACGTTACAGCTTTCGACTTGCTGTCGACAGGTAAAGGTTGTGTTCAGCTTTCTAATTACAACAGCTGCTTTTGTATTGTAATTGTTAAATTTCTCAAGTACTAATTAAATAAGTTTACTAAATGTGTACGAAAGTGGTGCGAATTCACAAAAATCAACGAAAATGAGCGCCAGACAGCAAAGCTCATATCATAACGTAGTGAAAAGCGTTTGTTATTGTTGATATGAAAATGAAGTGGCTATTGTGTTGGCATAAGAAATTGAAAAAAATGCTGGTAGGTTGGAAGCCGTTGCATTGGTTCATATTCAGTGCACTATGTCTGCTGGGATTTGGTGTCTATTGGTACATTTGGTCATCGGAGGTGCGCATTGAAGAGACCTGGAGTAATGGTTTGTACTCATATATTTGTTAAAATACATATATTATTTGTTTACTTAAATATTATATTTACTTGAATATCGTATTAGCGATTAAACCTTTGGGTCGTATAGCAGCTGCAGCAAATGGTGGTTCACTGGACGATTTCGATTATGAAGAACAATTAGTAGTGCTATATAATCGTGTACCCAAAACGGGATCCACCAGTTTTGTTAATATTGCTTACGATTTATGTAAGCGTAATAAGTTTCATGTCTTGCATATAAATGTGACGGCAAATATGCATGTGCTATCGCTGCCCAATCAGGTGAGTAGCATTGACGGAAATCAGTTGTATGTTAAAAGGTAATCATAATCTTAAAAAATATTATTTTTTGGCAGATTACGTTTGTGCGTAACGTTACCAAATGGCATGAAATGAAGCCGGGTAAGTGCGGTTGCTGATTTTTTGACGCATACATTAGTAATATTTCTCATTTTTATCTTTAAACAGCACTATATCATGGTCATATGGCGTTTTTGGACTTTTCCAAGTAATTACTGCAGCTTTTTCTTGTAATTGCTTGACTCCAGTAATACTATATTTATTTAATTGCAGATTTCAAATTGCGCACAAACCTATTTATATTAATATAGTACGTAAGCCATTGGATAGGCTAGTTTCCTACTATTATTTTCTACGTTATGGTGATAATTATCGTCCGAATTTAGTACGCAAAAAGGCGGGTAATAAAATTGTGAGTATTCATACCTTTAATTTATCCTTTCAAAAATATTTATACTTTTGCCATGCAGACTTTTGATGAATGCGTTTTATCGAAACAATCAGACTGTGATCCAAAGAATATGTGGCTGCAAATACCATTCTTTTGCGGTCATGCAGCAGAGTGCTGGTATGTCAAACTATCCTTAAAACCTCAAAACATATGCAGCTTCAATAAATTTATAAAATTTTTTTTTGTTTTTTGTAGGGAGCCAGGCAGCGAGTGGGCATTAAATCAAGCTAAGTATAATTTGGTTAATGAATATTTTCTGGTTGGCGTTACCGAGCAAATGGAGGATTTTGTGGATCTGCTTGAGCGTTCTTTGCCGCGGTAAATATACACAAACATACATACATACATATATATATATACATATTGCACACTGTACAATTGAAAACTACAATATCATGCCATTGTTTTGCTTTGCAGCATATTTCACGGTTTCCGGGAACACTATCAACATTCCAATAAATCCCATCTACGTCAAACGTCTTGGAAAATAGCACCCAACGACGATACAATAAATACCATACATAAAACAAAAATCTGGCAAATGGAGAATGAATTGTACGAATTTGCATTGACACAATTCGAATATAATAAGCGCAAATTGACCGTGCCCGATAATAAGCATTTGCAAAAATTTATGTATGAAAAGATAAGACCCAAATGATAGCATTTGCGAAATGCTGTTGCAAAAACGTCAAAAATGCGCAAAAAATGCACTAATGTGTGAAATTAAATTATGTGTGTGTATATTTTCTTGTTGTGTTAGCGCACGCAGCTGTTGTCACTTCATTGTTTGTACACATAAAGCACTGTTTGTAGTGTGAAACTCCTATTATAACATAGTGGCTATACACATTTACTTTTTTACATGAACCCTCCAATTGTAGTCATATTTAAAAAAATTTTTTTTTGGTATTGACTTGTTAGTATTGTTTGTATATTTCTGTTCTTTATACTTCAAAAAATTTTGCGCAATTCTTATTTATGCGCAATATGCAAATAAGAACTTTAAATATGTAACCACGACTAAGCAATGACAATTATGTGAAGACAGTCGAGTCTAAGTAACCGGAACTGGGCCGGATTTTTATCCGGCCAAGGATTGTCAACTCGGCACCATTCCTCGAAATTACTACAGGTATGTTTTCTGCCGCTAGACAACAACATAAGAAGACAGTCATTATATTTTTCGTAAGTTATAATTTTATATGGATTTTTTTTTTTTTAAATTTTGAATTTTAGTAATTTGGATTTTGGAATTATAAATTTAGTTTTATTAATTTAAATTGTATTGTTTTCTGTTTATGATATATATTACTATACTTTTTCAATATTTTTCTAAATTTATATACTTTTTGTTATTTACATATGTAAAAATTTAGGAAATTTTTTTTTTTTAAATATAATATATTTAAAATAATTTCTTTTTAATTTTTAAAAAAAATTAAGTTTTATTTAGGCTTGCGATATTTTAATTCAAAATAAATGGAAAAAAACCAAATTTTCAATAATTAATTCCGAGATGTTGGGCCTAAAAATTAAAATAAGGATTAAAAATTGAGAATTTTTGTTTAAAAATTAAGAAAATATTTTTAATTTCTAAATTGGAGTAACAAAAAAAATTTGTTTTACATATTAAAAGCCGAAAAGAAACGGGATAAAAAGGGAAAGATTTACATACTTCCTACTGAAACTATATAATTAAAACTAATTTAATGTAAATAAGATATAAAGTGTTGAACTAATTGAAATTTTATTGAAAGTAAGGTTTCCTTTTCCAAACCGAAGCAATATGGTAGAACACAAAGTACACAAACGCGGAATAATGTAAAACAATTTATTTATTTATTTTAATTATTGTATAATATTGAGATTACCATTTTTTTTTTGATCAGGTATTTTTGATTTTTAATTCGTAAATAGGGATTTCAGTAAAGTTTTTTGGGATTACGAAATAAAAAAAATTTAATTCAAATGTTAATTTAATTATTGTTTTAATGCATTTTTTGCAACCCTTTCTAAATTGTATTTTTTTGTTTATAATATACTTGTACTATTATTATGAAAAGTTTTTATAAATTTAAGTTAATAAAATATTTTTTTTTTAATCAACATTTTTGTAATTATGTATCAAATTTTAGTTTTTCTATATTTATTTTATTATAACTTTTTTATCAAATTTTTAAATTATATAATATTTAACAATTCTTTAAAATAATATTTTGAATTTTACTATATACACTGGTTTATCGTTTTATTTTAATTTATTACCTTTAGTTAATATTTTTATTTTTTTTATGTATGTCATTTTTAATATACATATACATATACGTATATATTTTTGATTTGCTCATTTATTCGTATTTAAAAACAATGTTAATTATAATTTTTTTATTAAATTTTTTATTGATCTTTATAATTGTTTTTTTGATTTGCTCAATTATTAGTATTTTAAAAAACTTTTCAATTAGTTTTTTTTATTCAATTTTTTATTACATATTATTAATATTTCATTCATATTTAAATAATAAAAAAATTTGAATTTGTATTTATTTTTTGATATGTTCATTTTTGATATTTTTTTTAGTTTTTTTAATTATCATTATTATTATATTTTTTATATATTTTTTTTTTTTAATTTTTTTATTACAATTTTTTTTATTTTTGTTTATTTATTTATTATTTTTTTAATTGAAGAAGTTTGTAACCCAGAAGGAAACGTCGGAAGCCTATAAAATATTTACATAAATGATCAGCATGGTGAGCTGAGTTGATTTAGCCATGTCTGTCTGTCCGTCCGTCTGCCTGTCTGTCTGTATATACACGAACTAGTCTCAGTTTTTGAAATATCGATCGTAAATTAAGCATATGGCCGTTTCTCACCAAGAAGCTGCTCATTTGTCGGAATGGCCGATATCGGATAACGGATCATTATCTAAGGCAATAATAGAATCTCCGAAGAAATTGTTCAGATCGAAGCAATCGGAATCAAGTTCTTTTGAGGAACCTTTTGTATTTGTGAAGGGTATTATAGCTTCGGTACAATCGAAGTTAACGTTTTTTTTTTGTTTTACTTATCTCTTACTATAAGCAATAACTAGTGAAACTGCAGTTGCAAGATACAAACAATACAAGTACATTAAAAACATAATACTATTAGAAAAAAATAGTGTAAAATTTTATAGCATATCATTAATTTTTAGCAAGATTTATATGTAAAAGTATAACTGTAAATTACTGTAGTCCTAGAAAAACTTAGTTAAATTGTGTGCGGAGTTTTTAATTTCTATTCTACATACATATGTATGTAAATAAATATATAATTGTATGTAAGTACATACAGACTTACTAGTTAACTATATACCTTACTCAGTTTAACTCTTTCCTTTGTTAACCGCATATTTGTATACGTAAGCAGCACATTATGATCGATCCGAACGTTTTTATACTGACAATACAAACAATAACTTAAGTAAAATATATGAATAATATTTAATATTAAATGTATACATATGTACACATAAAAAGCAGACATTAACAAAACTATTATACTCTGTGGCAACATGTTGCGAGAGTATAAAAAGGCAACTTAATATAAAAAGGCAACTTAATTAAAAATAGTCGTTAGTTGATAAGAAATTTGCACGTATAAATGGAATTAAATATAGTCAGAAGCTAGCTACAACAAATGTGAAAAAAATGTCAGAAAAGACAAAGAAATACAAAAACAATATGTATGTAAATTGTTATATGATTTAAATATATGTATGTAATGCAAAGTATTGTACTCGGAGTATTGATATTTTGTTGAAATAGTTTACAATTACATCATATATGTATGTGTGTTTGTATAATTAGAGCATTAATTTAGTGAAATTTCGTAATTGCCATTACGTAAGTATTTAAATGTATGTGTATGCAATTTAATGTATATAGATACTACAATAATAAATATGATATTTATATTTGGAAAAATTTAAATTTCCTTGTGGATTTTTAGGTTAAGCGATTATATCCTATATGTAAAAAACGTGGTTTTTGCGATTTTTTTGTTTTTTGAAGAGGCATTTATTTTATTTGAATAAAGAAATAAAAAGTAATGTACATTTACAAAATTTAATTAACTTTAATAATCACTGATTCATTTTGAAAAATTTTAGATTCCCTTGCATCCATAGCCAAACTCTATGAAGACCTTCGAAAACAAGGTGTCTGCCGGTGAGAATCTAAAAACCAAAAAAGAGTTATTACTACAAATGAATATAGGTATATATACCTATAAAGTATTTATTTTTTGTGAAAAATTAAAATCTTTTAACGCAATTATTATCAAAAAGCTTACTCCTTCGATCGTTACCAAACAAATCCTATATCTATAAAGATCATGTAAAAATTTCAACTACGTCCAGCCGTTTCGAAGAAATTTTCCTCACCAAATTTGAATCCATTGTTTCGAGAAAAACGCGTATAAGGTTTTGGCAGCCGATTACCCTGAGTTGAAAAATTCTTACAAATGCACACATATCTTCGAAACAATTTTCCGGAACAATTTCGAATTTTCGGAGAATCAGCAATTTGCAAAAAAAATCGAAATTACAACTTTTAGCTGTTCTAATTTCCTACTGCAGCTGCAGCGAAAATTTTAGTTAATTACATAAACAATAGTACGAAAGAACTCACCAGTTCTCTATCTTAGTATTAAAATTACATATGCCAATAACGGACGTTCTACTGCACTGATTCAACCTATTGTTTCATCCAAAGGACATATTGGCTTTGTTAAGTCATATGATAAGTAATACGCTAGTCATAGAGTCGTACCGATCCTCAACCAATACCGGTTCATACAGAAGACTTTCGGTATGTCCGCTTACTGCGAGGAGAGACTTACTGTTAATCCGAAAAATATGATAAGTCTGTCATTTCGCGGAGAAGTCAATTTCTTTTTTGAGGTATAAAATTATTGCACTCACGAGATCTCTTACATATTTCGCAGTTATCCTTGATAAAAAAACTAAACCGGAGAGAATACTTGTACATCGAACATCTGTAAAAGTGCTATTTCTCCGAGGTGGAAGGCTCCTAAATGGCATATTGGCTGCACACAAAATTTATCGATCCTATCAGGGCATGAGTACTGTAGAAAACACTAACGAAGTGTACCGCTTTAAACCCTTGGAAATCAACCAAGATTCTATAAATCAAAGCCAAAATTCAGCCAATAAACAATCAATCATTCATACGATACGAATCGTCATATACAGACAGCTGGATCAAGTTTTATAGTTAACAAGACAAGAAGGCTGGGATAGCCTTTCGTATATTCAGCTAATTTTGGTTTTTTCGGCTTCGGCTCATTTTTGGAACGTCATTCGCTAGATTATTCTACAGTTTCGACGTCATGTCGCGTTTGATAGATGTAGAGTCCTCAGTGACCTTTTCCTAACATCTCTTTCGCTATTTCTATTCGACGTTATTGCAAAAGATTTAGGTGTTTTAGTATGAGTCTAGCATTGAAACGCTTCATACCCAGAACATTAACCAAAATTGAGTCGATACATAAGCGATGTTGAGATCCTCTGCTATTTCCCTGATGACTTTTACGCATTTTTTATACCCTGAATAGGGTATATTAAATTTGCCACGAAGTTTGTCACACCCAGAAGGAAACGTCGGAGACCCTATAAAATATATATATATATATATAGATATATATGATCAGCATGATGAGCTGAGTTGATTTAGCTATGTCCGCCTGTCTGTCTGTATATATGCAAACTAGTCCCTAAGTTTTTGAACTATCAATTTTGCAACTGTCCTTTTCACACTAAGCAGCTGCTCATTTGTCGGAACGGCCGATATCGGACTACTATAGCACATAGCTGCCATACAAACTGAACGAACGGAATCAAGTGTTTATATGGAAAACTCCTACATTTGACGAAATTGGCATGGATTATTATTTGAGGCAATAATACAATCTCCGAAGAAATTGTATAAATCGGATGACTATAGCATATAACTGCCATATTAACTGAACGATCGGAGTAAAGTGCTTGCATGGAAAATTTTTTCCTTTGACGAGTTATCTTCCCGAAATTAAGCATGATTTATTGCCTTTGTATTTGTAAAGGGTATCATAGCTTCGGTGCAACCGAAGTTAATGTTTTTTCTTGTTTGAAAATTGTTAACCTTGAAAACAATTATATCGCTTTCACTCAGTTGTTCCACGAAAATATCGACGATTTTAGAATGTTAGGAGTACTGTCAGTAAGTAAGTGCACTCGTCGAGTTATTTAAATCAGACACAGCATTTCCGGCTTGAAAAAACAGGTTTTAGATCAAGTGAATCTGCGAGTAAAGTTTACTAAAGCCAGTATGTCTATGTTTATTCTAATAAACTGCGATAAATCTATAATTGTCAATAAATATGTGTTGAAACATCACTTTAAGTATATACATATGTATATGTATATATGTATTTGTATATGTGCTAAAATGGCCAAAGTGCAAATGACAATGTTTGAGATGTACTCATCAACTTAATCATATTAAATGTGTACCTTGGATTTTGCTAGCACTTAGTGCGCCTCACTAGTCCTCCTAGGCGGCAAGATTTCAACACTTAATCAAATCAAGCAAAGGTTTTCAATTGAAAAGTGAATTAAGAAATTAGTATGCGGGGACTTTTTGTATTGAAATGTTCTAACAATGACTATTAATTAACCGCAATTATTGTATGACTACAACTAAATGGCTTAAAGATCAACGCTGACGTTAAGACAGATATAAGATTTACATAAGAAAGTAGAGAATAGTAAAATGATCCACATGGCAGAGCGAAAACATCCTCGAGATTGGATGAATTATAGCAGAATTTAAAGTGCTTAAAGGTTTCACAAAACTGCTCTTCCTGAAGACTCACAGGGTCGAAGTTTTTTGTTCCTGGATCATATCTTTTATCCAATCGATACTTCCTGC